AGTCCTGCGCAGCACAGTTTGAGCCCACCGCATTTCACAACAAAACATCTCCCTGGCCTTCAGTTTTGGAGACCCCAATGTGAGGCTAGCACTTCCCTTACCGCAGGAGCATATTGCTTTGTGACAGAAGGCAAAAAACAAAACACAGGTGATCATTTGTTGCACTATCCACAAGTTGGCAGATACCTTTGGGAGGGGGTCCCTCATTTCCAGGACTGTGTGCATAATAAAAGTTATCCATAATAAACTCCACCACTCTCCACCAAATGTGTTTGGCTGCCTTCTTCTGAACCCTTTCCAGCCTGAAAATACCCTTTTTAAGGCAGGGCAACTGTACACCATATTCCAAATGTTTTGTATAATGGTACTGTGAAAGCGGGAGTTTCATTTTCAATCTCTTTCCTAATGGCCCAGGCATGGCATTTGCCTTGTTCACGGCTGCTGCTGCTGCACACTGGGGTCAACATCTTCATAGAGCTATTTGCTATGTCCCAAGGTTTCATTGCTGGTCAGCCGCTGCCAGTTCAGACGCCGTAAGTGTAGATGTGAAATTTAGATGATTATTATTTTTTTGCCCCAACATGCATCCCTTTCCACTTGCTTACAAGGAATTGCTTTCCCATTTCACTTCCCACTTGCTCAGTTGCGGGGAGGGGGGGCGGAATCAGTGGGAAAGAAAAGTAGGAGAGAGGACTCTGCCTTGCACATCCTGCATAGAGAGAGATGGACCTGAAGGCTGAAGCACTCTGCATTTGAATCCCCACGCAGCCATCCTGGGGCAAACATGAACCAGGCGCCTCCTCTCAGTCTAATCTACTCCACAGGATTGTTGTGAGAATAGGATAAGCCCCTGCCTGCTCGCACACACGCTTACTGAAGGAAGAGCAGGATGAATGAAAAAGCACCTGAGTTCAAGGAAGGGAGTGCTCAGCAAGGTTTGTGTACAACCAGCCAGCGGGCTGCCCCTCCTTGTGGGAGATTTTGGCTCTGTTGTGACAAGCACTAGACAAGGACGCAAATAAATGTTAGGCTCCATCTGTTTAACCTGGGGAGGAAGGGAGGCTGGGAGGGCAGAGAGACCTGCAGAACTGTATCTGAATACGCACCAGCCTCTTTCCAGGATTAGAACATCACCCTCCCTCTTGTATGAAGTGCTAACGCTTCATTCTGCATTGTCTCGGGGATCTCTCAGTGGTTCTTCATTGGGTGAGACTCAGGCAAGTGAAGAGAGGAAAGAGAATTGACCCAAAGGGCTCCAAAAGTGGTCATCCCCCCCCACCTTCAAAATGGCAGGGGGACAGGAGGCTCTTGGCGGGGAGAGGGGGCAGGAGGGAAGAGAAAGGAAGCCCTGTGCTTTTCAGGAGTGAAAGCTCTGCCCAGGCCCAGCCAAATGCCACCAAGAAGCCGAGAAGGACCTGAGATGCAGCAGGTGGTGTGGGAGCAAAGCACACAGCCCAGGATATAAAAGGCAGTTCAATCTAAAACCAATAATCCACTCCCTTGGAAAAGCCACCAGGCAGGACTCCTGCCAGGCCCTCTAGGGAGGCGAGGGGCGGGGCTGGCTCCAGGATGCGGGGAGGCCCCATGGAAGCCCTTTACCTGTCAACAGGATAAGGGCTTCCACCCAGAAGCTGCTCAACTGGCCCCATCGGCAGCCAGCGCTGCCTGTTTAACCGACAGAAGCCAGGAAATTAGCCAGGCTGCAGCTAAGCGAGTTAGAGGCACTGTAAGCTTGCTCTTATGTTATTAAACCAAGCTGGCCAGGGAAACAAAGGATCAGAATGTGCAGGGCAGGCATGATTTCGGGGACACCAAGTCTGGCCAACAAAATGCATTTTTCCTGCACAAAGAACGGCTCAGGACTGACTGCAACGCACCAGCAGCATCAGCCACTGGTGGCGAAGGAAGCCCACCCAGAACATCCAGCCAGGACTCCGCTCTCCTGGAGCAGCAAAGGCTTCCTGCTGGAACCACAGCAGAACAGGCTGCAGCTGAGACAGTCCCTCCCGCTGTGTCTCACTAGCAAAGAGTCACAGCTCCAAAGTCCTCCTGGGATCATCCATGAGCACCACGGAAGTGGGCAAGGCCTTCCTCTCTCAGCAGCAGCAGCAGCGCTGCACCCAGGTGCCCCTCCCTCAGAGGCACCACAGAAAGCAGAATCCGCTTCTCCCAGCACTTCCGGACAGGCCTGAGAAAAGAGTTCCATCGCTCTGCTCCCCTCCATCACATCCCGAGAAGCCAGCCATGGTAGTTTAGGTACCAGCTCTGCATCAGGCTGGCAGAGGCTTCAGACCTGCAAGCTGGCACCAGCATCCAATCTGCAAATGTTCTGGCAAGCTGACCTATGGGGTTTTCCCCCAGCCCAACTCACAAATGTAAGATAAGGGTTTTTTTTAAGTGCAGTGAATTCAAAAGCTGTGATCGGGAACCAATACTGCTCTCCTCCATGCCACCCAATTTCTAAGGGGAGGGGGGATTTATCCAAGGCACAAATGGGTAGGGGGGAGGTGGAGAGAACCCATGTCTAAGAGCTTCTCACGCACACACAGACTGCCATGCCCGTATCACACCTTCTTGGCTGAGACCCCCCCACCCTCCGTTCCACTGCGCTGCAACTGGGAGCCAGGAGACCTTCACGCAGCCTCCGCAGAGGTCACCTGCTATGCTTCCTTTCCTCTTTGCATCAAGCCACTCTTGGCAATGCTGATTGTGACTAAGAGCTTCCATAACACTCATAAGCAACAGGAAATCAGAGCCCAGCAGCTCAGTCCAGAAAGATTAGGTAGCCCACCCTGAGAACAAAAAAATCCCCTTTGGGGCAGTTCTTGACTTTCCGCTCAGAGTCCAGCTTCCCTGACCCAGCAGCTACTTCTGTAAGCCAGGTCAAAACCGTGGGGAGGGGGGGGAGAGTGTGTCTGTGTGACTCCTCCTAAGGCCACGGGGTTTCCCTGCAATCACCAAGCACTGGAATGCAAAACGGAATATGAAAATGTACACGCCTAAACCCTGAGCAGAGCAAGAATACCTTCCCCTCTCCCAGGACGTCCACTAAGTAAGCATCCCCCCTGCCCTCGCAGCTGTGGATTTGCTGACCTCAGGCCACTGTTAATTAATGCCAAATTCACTCCAAGGGCTCGGCCTGCTAACCACCTTGACAGAGACACAAGTTGCAAGACACCCATACAAAGGTGGCAGAGTCCAACTCATTTTCCTTCCCAAGGTCACCGGAGGTTTCATCCCTTCTGGCCGACCCTCACCCTCACTCCCACTGCACTGAACAGCGACCCCAATCTCACCAGGCACTTGGAAAGCCACACACACACACACGAGCAGATGAATCTCCACTCCCTCAACAACACAACTACAAGCCTGGTCAGCAGGATATACCTGCCCATTATGGGACCTCGCCTGGAGTTGAGTCCCAAGATAATCAAAGAAACACAAAAACATAACCCAGTATAGGAATCCTCCTGGCCTGCATCTGGGATTTGATGTTCCCATGCACTGCTATATACTACTTATACATATTTAAACTACATTATGAGTGGTTCCCAATTGGTGGTTCGTGGACCCCAGCGGATCCATGTAACCCACCCAGAGGGTCCTTGGCTCCATTCACACAACAAGAACTACCATAGAGATATCAAAGTTTTCAAAAGTAGGAGGTCCATGGCTTGGCTTTTGAAAAGCATGTTACTTTGGAATCACTTATAATGAGGCTTTTTTTTTAAAAAAAAGAAATATTATTAAAGCGACTTGCCCAGTGGAAAGTTCAACATGGGAGTATAATATGCTACATATGGGAGCAGAGCTGCTTGCCCGTTTCCCACAGGCATCTGGTTGGGAGAAGGTGCTGGACCGGATGGGCCATGGGCCTGATCCAGAAGGCAGCCTGAGTGGCTACCCAGGAGAAAGTCCAGTTGAGGCCGAATCTGCCAGTTGCCTTGCCTTGTCTTTTAACACAGCCAGAGGCCCCTGCTGCACCCACAAGGGAGGTGGGCTTCACACCTGAGCTCAGAGTGGGGCGTATTCACGTGTAGCTGCTGCCTGGCATACAGGACGGGGGTGGGGGGTGGAACGGGTGGCAGCAAGTGGGCATGCCTGCTTCTCCAGGGCCACCATCCCCCTGTGCCTCAGTTTCCCCGCCTTCCCTCCGGGGGAGCAGCCTCTGCTGCCTCGTCTTCTCCCCAGGGGAAGGCGAGCGAGGCAGCGGCTGGCTGGCAGCAGACGGATTAGGCTAAGGAGCAAGAGCCACGCTTCGCCGCGGGCAGCCCAGATGCCCTTCCGCTTTCGGGCGGCGGCGGCGGCGCCCTCGCAGACCCGCCCCGCCCCGGGGCAGCCGCCTCCCTCCTGCCCCGGCGCAGCCAACTCCGGCGCCGAAGCGAAGTTGTTGTCGGCAGAGCCAGAGCGGGGCCTCCTCGGGAGAAAGCGTGTCGGGACACCGGCCCAGCCCTCGAAGCGGGGAGCCCACCTGGAGGGGCCGCATTCACACGGGACACGCGGACACGGGACTCCTCCTCTGCACGTGGAGACCTAGCTCCTCAGGGTCGGAGAGGCGGGAGAGGAGCCCCGCCCCCTCAGCCCCTCCGGAGAAGGTCCCGCAGCTCCGCCGGGCTGCCTTCGCCCCCAGGGGAGACCCAGTCCGGCGGGCGGCGGGAGAGGCGCTCTGCCCATGCTCAGAGGTCCGCCCTCCGCCTCGCCGCTCCCTCCTGGCCTACCTTGCTGAGTGCGCTGCTGCTGCTGCCGCCTGGCCCTCCCGCTCCTCGTGCCCCGTCGGCGACGCTCGCTCCAGCCGCTCGGTCGGATCGGCGGCGGCGGCGGCGGCGGCAATTGGGGCTCCCGTCACGGGCCGGGCGGAGCCGTGGCAAGGGCGGAGTGCGCCTGCGCGGCGGCGGGGCTGGCGGGCCGGCCTGACTCGGGCCCTCCCGGGGGGGGCGGGGGCGGGAGGGCAGGAGAGCGGCTGGCCACGCCCCTCCGCGCCTGCGCGCCCCTCTCTGCTCCCCCGCCCCCGCCGGCCCCTTTGGGCGGGAAAGGCGCGCGCGCGCGAGAGAGAAGCCGCCTCAGGACGGGGCGTCTCGGTGTCCCTGAGGGAGCTTCCTCCGCCGCCCCGCTAGGTGAGGCGTCTCCCCGCCTCGGCCGCGCTCGAGGGGCCCTGGGGGACCATCCGGGGTGGACACCCGCCCTCAGAGCCGCCGCCGCCGCTGCCCGTCCGAGTGGGCAGCGCTGAGCGAGGCCGGGCGAAGGCCTCCTCCTCGCCCTCCGTGCCGGCCAGCTCTTCCCAGAGGAGCCTCGTCCTTGTTGCCTCTCCGGGGCACGGCAAGCGGCGGAAAGGCCAGGCCTTTCATGCGGGCGGGGACTTTGCAATACAAGTTCTAACCTTTGCCAACTCTCGGAGGAGGAAGAGAGCCTGGGATCTGCTCTGCTCACATGACAGAAAAGGAGAGAATTGCAGTTCGCGGCAGCCCTTCCCAGGTGCCACTGCAAGGAGAGCAAACCCTAGGAAATAGAGGAGGGCTCTGCCATGCAGAAGCCCCAAGGAGACTTTCGGTGGGATTTAGCCATATGCTGCAGGTTGCACAGCACATACACTATTGTTGTTGAGTCGTTTAGTCGTGTCTGACTCTTCGTGACCCCCTGGACCAGAGCACGCCAGGCCCTCCTGCCTTCCACTGCCTCCCTCATGCTGGGAGCTTTGAGAACACTGTCCCACCATCTCGTCCTCTGTCCTCCCCTTCTCCTTGCGCCCTCCATCTTTCCCAACATCAGGCTCTTTTCCAGGGAGTCTTCTCTTCTCATGAGGTGGCCAAAGTCTTGGAGCCTCAGCTTCAGGATCTGTCCTTCCAGTGAGCACTCAGGGCTGATTTCCTTCAGAATGGAGAGGTCTGATCTTCTTGCAGTCCATGGGACTCTCCAGAGTCTCCTCCAGCACCAGAATTCAAAAGCATCCATTCTTCGGTGATCAGCCTTCTTGATGGTCCAGCTCTCACTTCCATACATCACTACTGGGAAAACCAGAGCTTTTACTATACACTATACTTAGGGGCAAAGTGGAAGGGTGAACTCCCTTGCAAAAATTGCCTTTTGCAGTTCCCCGCCACCGGCAGTCTTTGCCTTTGCCTTGTGGTTCATTTGAGCCCAGCCCTGCTTGCAAATCTGACCAGTTTACAACGTGTCAGGCTCTGGCAGTTGGCAAGTCCACAGTTTGTTTGTAAAAGGTTGTGGGTTAAGGCTCAGACTTCTCCAATGAAAGGTCTCGGGTAACAGAACTGTAAGAGACACCTGTCTGGAGAGTTGCTGCCAGTTAATGTGCCCAGTGCTGGGGCAGATGCAGCTTTAGCCTGTAAGGGAGCACCTTGTAACACCTATTTGCTCACTTTGCCTGAAGCTCTGCAGATTTCTAACAAAGATGGGGGATAGCGAGGGCAAGGACAGTACTGCACTGGAAGGACTAACAATCTAGTTTAGGATTCCAACATAAGTGTAGCTGACAGGCTTCTGATAGGGTTGAGTCTTGCCTGTTTTCAGATGCTCCCAAGTGAGTTGTTGGCGGCTAATAGAGCAGTAGAGGGTTATTTTAGTAATAAAACATTTCAAGTTTCTTATTTTGAAGCATCTGGAGACAGGACATTTAAAAGTTCTAAGTGCATTTATGCTCACAATGGCAGGATCTTCAAACTACACAGCTCTTATTCCCCAAGAATCTCGAGTGTCGTATTCAGAATAGTAGAAGACTGACTGTGGGTCCATGTCAGAGCTATGCGCAGCACTTCAGCTAAGAGGTAAATTCTGTGTTGCTGACCTGGTAAGGATTTCTCTCCCCCACCACCACCCCTGAATTCACCAACAGTTGCACATTTCTGCTATTTTTAGAAGGACCTAATGGACTCAAAAAAGCTGTGCTGCTTCAAAGCCTTGCAGAGAATTCCAGCCCCCCAACCCACAAAACAGATATGTCACAGGTCCCACATGAAGCAAGAAGTAAGAGTGCATGTAGACCCCATTACTCTGAACCCCACCACATCAGGTCACATCGCACACAAGATCACATGTATAACACAAACAGCAGTGCAGCGCAGCATATTAGTGCAGCATATCAGCTAAAGGAGAGATAGGCATTCTAGGGAACGTGCCTATTTTATAGATGGGGAAACACTGAGGCTGAGGAAGCAAGCATGTAGAAAACATTTACCCCAGTTAATCTCATGTTTAACCAATCCATAAAGGCAGCCAGGGTGGGGGGTGAGGAGGAAGGCAGAATAGAAGATGGCCTGGTGCTAGAGGAGAACACAAGAGAGTGGGGGCAGGCTCCCCCACTCTCCAGCACAGGCTCCAGCATGTGGGGGTGGGGAGTCTGATCTACATGGCATTCTCCCAGCTACTCCCAGATTAAGTCTTCCAATGTTGCCACAAGTGTCCTGCCAGCAGCAGCCTCCAGCCTTTTCATGAGTGGAACTGCTGCCATTGGACTACAGTGGTACCTCGGGTTAAGTACTTAATTCGTTCCAGAGGTCTGTTCTTAACCTGAAACTGTTCTTAACCTGAAGCACCACTTTAGTTAATGGGGCCTCCTGCTGCCGCTGTGCCGCCGGAGCACGATTTCTGTTCTCATCCTGAAGCAAAGTACTTAACCTGAGGTACTATTTCTGGGTTAGCAGAGTCTGTAACTTGAAGCATCTGTAACATGAAGCGTATGTAACCCAAGGTACCACTGTACAGTACTGGCAAGCCAACCCTGCTGCTGTCACCACAAGCTCCGTCAGCAGGCTGTGGCAGCCCAGAATGTTACCTGCCCTCTGAGTCCTCTTACCCACAACCATTGTCATTTCACACTGGCGCATTGGCTGGTACCACATGGGCACAGGAGCTGTCTGAGAGGGCAGAGATAAACAACCACAGCAGAGCCAAAGAGGGGGGAGAGAGAAATCCTGCCGTTATGACAGGGCCTAGCCCTTGTTACTAGGATCATGCTGGAGAGTGGGGAAAGAGTCCCAGGGTAACTTGAGAGCCAAATCTTGTCGCCAGAGAGCACAGGGCAAGGAAGACTTTCCCCTGTGGCTCCCACATCGGGTATAGCCACTAGTGCCCCACAGCCCAGCCCATGGTCCACCACAATAGACACTGGAGAAGAAGACCAACTACAGGCAGAGCAATAATCATTCATCTGGACTGTATAAAGCTAAGAGCCAACATTCTATGGCAATGCAGGCTGTTAGCTTTTGGAGGTCCCAATAAAGCCAGAAACGTCCACTCCAACCTTTGTGACCTCTTGAATTTGGAATCCTGCCTATGTCACCTGCACAAAGAATTAGAAACCTGCAGGCAACCTTAATTTAAAGCAACAGAGCAGATATTGGGAGAGATGTGTAAAGCCCAAACCAACAAATGCCTCCTCTTCACCCGTATGGTATTCCAGATCCAATCATTCACCAACATAGAGACGGCCTGAAGCCCAGCTAATTTTACACAGCTCTTGGAGCCTTTTCCTTTATGCCCCCACCCTGATACTTGACCACCTTGACAGATTTCACTGTGTTTGCTTTTAACTTGCTATAGCATCAGTCCAGTGGTCTGAAATATGGACACCGTTGTCTCCTCCTTCCTCTGGCCTTGCAAGGGCCAGTTTTCTCAAGCTCGAAGTTGTCACTGGGTATTGTCCTCATTCTCTTCACAAGCCATGCTAGACTGTCCCTTTCCATATGTAAATGCAGCAGTTCCCTCGCACTGATAGAACCCTTCCTGAATCGTGCCTCCCTCTTCGTGTTTGTCTGTGCCAAGTTACCAAAACAAGAAAAGGAAAGCAGGTTTAGGCAGCACAAGAAGAGCCATGCTTACAGGCTTAGCCCCTCGATCCTGACCAACCTGGCAAATCATTTCTCCGGTGGGGATAAACTTGGTCCGCAGCTCCATCCTCCCAGGGCTCGGTCTCTGGTTTTCACCATCCCTCTGCAGCCGGCGGACATCGAACAGTCCTGGCATTCTCTGAAGGAGCAGCAGCACAATAAACAGCCTTCTTGGCCCAGCAGCGGAAGAACTGGAGGCCTGTGTTTGTACAAGCTCTAGGTGTGAGCTCAAGCAACAATGCAGTTCAAGCACTTGTTTCCACGTCCTTTCAGCTGTTCCAAGAGCCTTTAATTTATGTCTTTGCTTATTGCTTTTAACTCCAATGTTTCTTCTCTCAGACCCAGGGGACTCTGGAGACCTGGATGGACATCTGCAATTTTTGGCACCACCTTTGTGACCTTGGCTGTTCTGCCCTGAGAAGCTGCAGCGGAAGGGCTCTTTTCCTCTCTGGGTACGTTAGCCCTCCTGGTCCCCCTTGCCCAGCCGGCGCCAGGTGTGTCTTTCTTTCTGTCAGACCTCTTCCTAAGGGGCAAAGCTTTGTTTGTGTGCTAATTTGGTAAATTATATGGGCAACTTTTCACCCAAAGGCTCCTGAAGTCAGCAAGCTGTTTTATTAATAAAAAACAGTGGAAACATCATAAAAAGAGCTGCAAACACATAAACTATATAAAAAAGGCCACCACTGGCAGTAGGCAAATACATGGCAGTGATAATCCGATCTGAACACCTGCGTGACAGTCTTTACCAGTCTGTGAAATGGCCAGGAAGAAGAGAGGCTGCACCCAAAGGAAGGAGGACCAGAGTCTGCACTGGTACCACAGCCAAAAAAGACCCTCCCTGCATGTGAACAGCCTCAAGGTCTATGGATGAAGGGCGATATACAAATTTAATAAATAATAATGTGGTCCCCTCCATGTTTCTGCTGGAGGGGAAGGAGGGATGTGGAGCAGGGCCTCCCCAGCAGATCTCAGAACGGCAAGCGGGATAACCAGGTTTAACAACACTTGGGACCAGAGATGATAACCAGCACTTTGAACTGGGCTCAGAAAGAAATCAGGAACTGATTAAGAGGGAACAACAATTTGCCCTCTCCTTATCTGAGAGGTCTTCTATGTCATCAGCCGTTCCATGACAGGCAGAAATTCTACATGCTCGCATTTTGCCTGCCACCACATCTCAATGCTAACAACAACAACAAAACCATTTTGAATTTCTGCCTGTTTTTATGTAAACCACCTTGGGAATTTCTTCTGGAGGACATTATATTGATATCTATAAACAGACAGAGAGGAACAGAGGAAATCCTATAAATCTCTACCAGCTGCAAAGCCCTTGTCAAAGATAGAGTGGTTTACAGTAGTTGAAATATGTGACCAAGACATCATGGGTGATGAAAGTGGCCAGATTTGCCTTCTCCAGGACAGACACAGCAGCCAAAGCCCAGCTACTGCCAGCATCTGACCCCAGCCAGGCTCAAAAGAAGGAACACTACCCCTTCCAGAACAGGCTGTGTCACCGCTTCTGAGTCTGCTTATGTCTTTTCCAGAATAAGTTTCCCATTTCCAAAGCAAATTCCTTGGTGGGAAGTCCTTGCCAACAGTTTCTCCTATTCCTAAAAACATGGAGCAGGCTTGAATCTCTCTTTTCCTTCAGAAGTGGTTTAATGGATGTGCCTTAAGACCCAGGCTGAAACAAAATATAAGAACAGGTTTTAAGAAATAGATGTAAAATGGGGGGGGGGACACCAGGAACTAAACGAAGGTGGAAAGGAGCCAAAGAGCACACTGAGGAGAAAGGGAGGCTGGGACACAGCTGTCCAAATATATTCCCCCGAGATAAGCAATCCAAAAATAAAACTAGTTTATTTTTGTTTGGAAAAATGTACTTTTAAGTAATTTACTTGCTGAAACTTTAAATGTTGAGGGGTGATGAGCATGCCCAGAAATACATATGTACTGTATTTACTTGAATCTAATGCTCACGTTTTTTGGCCAAATTACGTTGCAAAAATCAAGGTGCGTTAGATTCGACGGCACATTTACATTCGCCAGCAATTCCTTTTTTTTATTTCAAGGTTCTGAAAACTGAGGTGTGCATTAGATTCAATGGTGCTTTAGACCTGAGTAAATATGGTATATGAAAAAGAAAAACTCTCAGCTGTTACTGTGGGTTTTTGCTACCCATCTGCAGCCTTTGCTGATAAAATTGAGCTTATATTAGTGCTAGAATCACTCCTGCTAAGGGTTCAAGGTGGAGTTAGGGTTAATTGGTCTGATTAATCAACTGAATCCTTCACCAGAGATTGAAATCCCACCTCTCTTAAAAAGAGACTGGTATCAGAAGCTCAGCTGTCATGTACACTACCCAAACCAGGGTGGGAAGAGGCACCCTCGCCCAGGTATCAAACTTGTGTTGAAAGAGAAAAGTTGCCTTCTAGTATAAAATAACAGTGTCCTTTCAAAGACTTCATGTTTTCCAAGATGTCTCACAGTTCTGATGAATCTTATATTTATTTATTTATGGAGCCACCTTGGCTCTGGTGTGTCACTGGCTGTAACAGGGAGAGTGGCATAATCCCAAATGCAATGGGACAGTGAGGAGGAGGATGAAAGGGAAAGGTTTTGAATTTGGTGGACTTAGGTAGGAAACCTATACAGAGGTAAAAATTTCAAACTCCCGTTGACTTCAGCATGATTTAAACAGCTTACCTGTTTGCAGAAATCAGAGTTAGTTAGGGATCCAGTGAAATAGCTAAATATACTTCAATTCTTGACAGTGCAGTTGAGAATACAAGGGTGTCACAACTATGCTGCAACCTCCCTCCACCTCTTGGTGGGGTGCCTGGTCAGTCCCCATTCAGGTTTTGAAGGAAGAGAGAATGGGGGAATATTCTGGTGGACATACACTACTGATTTCCTCCCACGCTGCAGTGTTACCCTGCAACTGCTTCCTGATGGGGAGTGCTCTGGAAATTCACCCGCAAGGGCTGTAACTGCCTCTTGGTGAGGAGTCCCGCCAGCCTCCGTGAACTTTGTCTCCTGCCCTTTAGAGAAACTGCCTTGCTTGGTCCACGTTCCAGGATAATCAGGTAAGACGGGAGACAATGTTCTGGGACTCTAAGGCTGGGCCGTCTCAAGGAAATCATAATTTAGTTTGCAGGAAGCAGTGGGGAAAGAAACAATGGCTCTTATCAGTGGATATTTTAGGGTCCAGAAAACATGTGAAATATCTTGGAAACATTTCCTGTTTACATAAAGCTGTGCTATGTAAATGCAGAGGTCCACTATTTATCCCCAAGAGAGGGGGTGACCATTGATGGCTCCTGCCTGCATTAAGGGATGGAGAGGGGGAGCTGAGAACCTGCCTGAAGAAACCTGCAATGTTTCACTTGCTACCCCTCTGGCTGAATTGTCCTCAAGTGATTTCACTTAGGCAACTTGAAAGCAGACAAATGTTTTCTTTGAGAAACAGCCTATGGAAGACTGATGGAGCCAGCAGCTGCCAAGTATCTGACAAATGGGCCGGGGGGGGGGGAGAGAGAGCAGGGAAGGGTCATCTGGCAGGAGCTCTTCCTGCCCAAGAGAGAGCTTGGCCTTCCTCATCCACACTGGCAGTTGCAGCATGCTGGCCTCTGCAGGTATTTGTCATTCTTTCATGCCATTGCTTGGGACACACATATGCACACACTGGGAGTCCCCTTGCCATAGCATTTTACCCACTTTCGGAAGCCACCCCTCAGAATGCAAGGACTTAATTGTAGAGCCGGAGTCTCCCAGCCTGTCTACCACTAACAAGGAGAAGCTTGAAGGAGCCTGGAGATTTTGAATTGTTGGAAGACGGTTGACTCAACCTCCTTGCCTAAGAGGAGTAAAAAGAGCAGGGACTGATTTTGAACGAAGGTTTGAACAGCCACAATCATGTGAAAGCCTCCCAACGCAGCACCGTCAAATTTGACCCACTTTAACAGAAAGGTTGCTCCCAACTCTGCTAACATAATTAAGTCACATTACTTTTCCTGGTCACCCAAAAGTTCCCTCGGAGTCTAGTTTTTCTGCTGCTCTTAGCTGAAAATGGGTGTATTCCCCCACACACCCTGCCACATGGTGATGATTTTGGCTGTCTTTGGTTCTGAGGATTTCACTAAATAGCTGATAGTTAAGTTAGCAAAAACTCCTATTGCAAGTCATTCCCGATGGTGGCTGGTGCCCCCACCCTCAGGCTCCCATTCCCTACTTGCTCCTGCTCCAACTCTTCCCAGCAAACCACACCAGCTACTTCTCATCAGAGTGGGGAGAAATGGCTGGTCCAAAGCCAAAAAGCAAGCCCATGGCAACTGGAAAAAAGAAAACCCTTGGACACAATCAGTCCGTGACTTCTTGTTACTTCCCTAGTACAGCTTGGTACCTAAGACTTAAACAAAAGACAGTTATGAGTCTGTGGCTTTCTGATGCAGTGCCAGAAAAAGGACTCCTAGGCCTTAAGCAGTTGTGCAAAAAAGTTGCGGATTGATGTCGGTGCTGGATGTTTACAGAGGAGCTGCAGCTTGGGTGAGAGAAAATCAGAATCACTTTGGGAAGAAATCCTTGAAAGAACATTCTGCTCTGTCCCAAGAGAAGAGACTCCCCCTGCCCCCTCTACACACACATATCCCTGCCCAACCCTCTAGCTTCTTTCCAGGCCCACACTGGGAATTAAAAACCCCACAAGACACCTCATAGACTGCTCTCGTGCCTCTAACACGCAGCAGCCAGCGAGGCAACTTTACCTGTGCTGCTGCCCACAGTTCAGGAAACAGCAGAGGAACCCTCACCCTTGCTGCAAAATCTTTCTCTGGCTCTGAAACCAGGAGGATTGGGAGCGGAAGAGAACTTGCAGAAATACTGTCTCATTGCTCTCAACACTGATGGCCCACTTTGCTGCCTCCAGGGCATGTGTAGTCGTCTGTCAATCAATCGGGTCAGGGGCCAACCGTCTTCTTGGCAGGCAGCCATAACTGGCTTCTAGGGCAGGGCTTTGTAGGAAGATTTCTGCAGGCAAGGAAGGAGGAAGTGAAGCAGTGTGGAAGCAGCTTTATCTGGAGGATGTGTTGAGTGGAGGGGGGGGGTGAATAAGGAGCTGCTGCCACCTGCTAGGCCCAAGTCCCATTGTGCCAGGGAGGAGCTGCCTGCTGCTCCCCCATGTAGTCAGGTGGACAAACCAAAGGCAATGGGACAGGAACAAGCGGGAGCTTCTGCCACCACCTACCTGCCTGCCCCCCTCAGCAGCGCAAGAGGTGGGCATCAATGGCCACCACTTCAAGGGGTGGGAGGCTGATGGTGCCGCAAGACAGAGGGCGGGCCGTGGGGGTTGCTGCTCCAGCATCTCTGGGGCAGTGAATTGGGTTAGGTTTTGGGGCCTTGGCAGCTGTCGCAGAATGCCAACCCTGTCAGAAGTTTTATCTCCTGACGCTTCTGCTTGTTTCAAGTCTACTGTACTTCGTTTCAGTAGTACAACCCAGCTTTTTTAAACACATCAAAACTCTTCCTCTTTGCATTGTGAACCTCAGTGGTGATTTCTCCTCCTTGCTTTGCACTGGCGATTCTGCAGGGCTACTGGGGGGGGGGGGAGAGCTGAGCCAGGCCAAGGAGTTCAAAGCATCTTACTAGATCACAAAAGAACACAAAATTGTCTTAGCAACCCTTGCCAGCTGGTGCCCTCCAGATGCCTGGTGCTGAGAGCTGCCAGGCCATCCTATCCTGAGGGTGCCAGGTCACAGAAGGCTGTGTCGAAGCAAATCTTTCCTATCATTGTAGCCCTGCTTTTGGAGGACACCATGAACAGGATTGTTTCAGTTCATTAACCAGTGGACAACAGTGCTGGGAGGGGGAAGGACAGATGTGAGAACTCCTCCCAGTTTTCTTGTATGCCTAGCAGATTTTTAAAAAGTTGCCTAGTTGTTTCCATGTTCAAGCCTCTCCTCAAATACTTTCCAGTCTCCCTCCCCTCCGCCTCTGGCTCAGTCATCTCTTCCCTCTCAGGCTCCCTGCGCCTGCCCTGTGGAGCCAGCCGCTCCCTGCCTGGTTATCTGCTTCCATCCGCAGCACAGGCCCTCTTCCTCCTCCCACCCCAGGTTGCACTCTGCCACAAAGGCATGGAAAAGCCACAAGCTGGGAAGATTTAATTAGACGACTTTCCACTGCAGCCGGTGGTGGTAGCAGCATTGTTCTGCCGAGAGATTAGCTTACTAAAGACAGATCCACCCACTCAGTTCAAAAGTGTCAGCAGTTTTCCCAGGCACATTTCTGAACGGGCATTTCTGAAGCAAGTGATCAATTCCTGTCTTGTTTTGAGGTCTTGAGGATCTGTTCTCCCTTTGCCAATAGGAGCCAAAACAGCAGACTCTTTTGTGAAAAAACTTCGTGAAAAAATATTCCCACTTCCTTTGCATCCCAAGTTTGAAGCAGGGAGTGGGGGGAACCTTCCCAGATAGGCGTCCCCTGCCAATGGCAGTGAGCGGGGCCATCTCTTTTCACGTTAACAATCTCCACGTCTCCCCAGCAACCCACTTCCCCCTTGTGCAACGGCATGCACCAGGGTTCAGGACACACACAAGCCTCGTTCAAAGGCAGGCGCACCCTACTGATGGTGAAGACTTCTGCACTGCTATCACTCAGAAGAGCTTCCAGAGGAGAGACCACGCCCGAGAAACAGCTGGAACCGTTTCAGCAGAATCTGCGTCCTCTGCAGTGCCCCCTTGTGGCTCAGAGACAACAGCAACAACAACAACTGGGAGGCAGAGTAACTATCAGAGTTAACATTTATTTTAATATTTCTTCTTTAAACCATTTGCGATTCACCTCAAGGGCTGCAAGACAAGTTACCATCTAAAATAAAATAGTATAGAAGCACAATACAAACTAAGCAGGGAAGACAAATAGCAGCAGCCGCAAAATACAGCAAAAAACAGGTGAGGGGGGTTGGGGGAAATACAGTTGTTACTTGGTACCTAAAACATGATTTAAAAAAAAAAGTTGATGCACTTGAAAGTGTATCACAACAGCAAGGCACCAGCACAGAAAACACCCTGTCCCAAATCACCACCTGCCTGACCCATGACAGTGAGGTGCCAGGAGCTGGACCTTAAGACACTGGTCTCCAGGAACCAGCAGGTTCATATGGGAGGAAGCAGAGCTCCTTCAGGTACCCTTTAAGGAATCGGGCTTTAAAAAACAGTAGGAGAAGCACCTTGAACTGCACCCAGAAACCAACAGCAACCCAGTGGTAGCCTTGCAAGTATTGCCGATACATATTCAGTAGCTTGGACGTTCTTCCTAGGCAGCCCCCCACAGTGCTTGGATGTTATCAGCTGCAGATGTGGCCAAGTAATTACTCAAGAGGAGATGCACGCTGGTAAACCAATCAAAGCGGATGAGAAGTCTTTCCTACCACTTGGGTGTCAACACCAGGACTAGATTTAATGGCAGATTTAACTGTGAACCAGTTTGGTATGGAGAAGTGTGACCCCTCGGCCACAAGACTCTTTGGCACAGTGAAAGGGTGGAACACCTGCTTTGCCACATCTTGTTCTGTGTTGACAGAGCACACCTGACTGCCAAACAACTTTCGGGGTGAATCTCTCTCACACACAAAAATGATGTCATGATACAATGACACAAATACGATGCTTATCCGAAATTCGCTCAGCAAAGAACAAAGGAAGTGGATGGCCAGGATGCTTAAAAGAGGAGAAAATGAAATTCCACTGAGGAAGCTGCCTTATGCCCCTGGTCCATCTAGCTTAGTACTGTTTGCACCGCCTGGCAGTGGTTCTCTAGGGTTTCAGACTCTCCCAGCCCTACCTGCAGATTGAACCAGCAGCCTTCTGCATGCAAGGCAGGTGCTCTGAGCTATGGCCCTTCCTGAAGAGGGTCCTTTCCCAGGCTGCGACAGAGCTCTCAAACAGAAAGATTAAAACAAAAAATATGTCCGTCACAGCAATGACCCCAGACAGTATCTCGAGGGTGTTTACCGAAAAGACAATAAAAAACCGCTCTCAATATATCTTCACGCATGTAACAAAGTGACATACAGAAAAGCACCTGCCACCACGGGCTCCCAAGGAAGTTCCTGTCCCAGCTAGAATGTCAAGGCTCAAGCAAAGAGTCAGCCTCTTACAGGCAGGGCGCCCTTCTTGTGGGCCAATTTACATAAGAATCCTGCTGTCCATCTGCCACAATTTAACTTTAAATCCATTAGGCAGTGACTGAAGCTCACCTGCTAACAGGCACGGGGAAATCTGCCCCATTCAAAAACCTCCCATACTTACACTTGGTCTGAGTCTAGAAGAGAGCAAGATGGCCACCTTCTCAGAAACAGAAACTGCATTGGGAGAAACGGAAACTAGTCCAGATGCAACAGGAGTAATTAAGACAAGACAAATTGAAAGTGCTTGTACATAAGGATTTTGGTGGGTGCATCTGCCTTATCTCAGAGTTCAAAGGCTGCCCACCATGATAACACCCACCACTCATTATTTCAGCCCAGGTTTCTCCTATTGGCAGTTTGGTACCTTTTCTCCATGGAAAACCTTTGAGTCACAGGAGCAGCTGACAAGTGCCCAGAGGGCAGGGGCATCCATATTTCTCTCCCTCCCTTGTGAGTGCAAAGGATTGGCATGAGCAGCAAAGGGAATCCCTGCAGCGGCCAAGTCATATCCACACACAACATGCTGCCAACAGCAGCAGCCTCCACATCACTTGCATGCAGGGGAGAACTAGCTGGCTTTGCTTTATGAGCTTGGGCATCCTGACAGGGGCCTTTAGTGCTGAGTGGAGCCAGAAACTGCAGAACCATGGGCTGAAGGAGAAAGGCCAGTTCCACAGAAATTGTGCAAAGGTGCAGGAAATCCGCATCCAGATGAGGACTGGCCCCAGGAAGGTGCCAGCAAGGCTGTGTTACTGCGGAGCTTGCTCCAGAAGGGGAAGGGGGAGATAACACCTGCCCCTGTTCTTTCCTGACCTTTGGCCATGCTGGCTGTGGCTGATGGGAGTTGGGGGACCAACATCATCTGGACGGCACTACATTGGCTTCCCCTCAAAATAACCCCAGGTGGAATCACCAGCATGGCTGGGGTTTTTTTATGCGACAGGCCATCAAGAACTCCCACATTCCAAGCAAAAGTCAGCTGGTTGGTTGGTTGGATGTAGATTTACCTCCAGAATTTCAAGCACTGAACTCTTGGAGATTAAAGCTACCACAGGAAGTGGGGCAGCTGGAAGTAAAGATAACAGAAGCCAAGAGCTGCTCAAGTCCCGCCCTCTTCACTGCTCTGTCAGGACTGCTCATTTCCAACCAACCAAAATGTCACAACTGATGGCATACTCTCTTCGTCTACTATAGAAAGTGTATTTCAGCTCCCAAGTAAATTCTAAGTGCATTTCATAAAAATAGGGAGCTGAATCCTGGAATGCTGGTTTTTAAAAAACAGGACCAACCATTGACTACTTAATATTGCAGTGTATTGCCTGGGCCCTAAAATAACCCCTAGGAAAAGGAAGCAGCAGCAGGCCTCAGGAATAAGTGCCCCCTGCCCTGTGCTAGGCCACTGGAAGTTGGATCCTCTTGGGAAAGCTACAACTAGTCAAGGTTCTTTAGTTGCTGAAGGTAGGCACAGCCTTGTTCCAGCTTCCTGGGACAGCAATAGAACTATTTATTTCCTAGGAAATGATGCTCTGGGCTGCTCAAACTCACATGCCCACCTGTTTTTCTAGCCTTCTTCAGAGAGAGGCCTGTTTCTAAGGCAGAGGAAGGAGGTTCCCTCCTCACAGACCCTGCTGCAGGGGCACGTGGCACAGTTCAAAAGTCACACGGTGGTTTCTCATCACAGAGCTGCTCCTGCATCCTGCTGACTCCGTCCCAGGCTAGGTCCTTCTCTGCTAACATTCTCCTTGGTTGAATCTGAAAGGAGAGATCAGTCCTTGTTTTTTGTTTCTTATTACAGTTCTCTCCCACCTTTCCTTTAAGGAGCTCAGGGCTGCATATATGGTTCTCTTCCCCTCTCTATTTTGTCCTCACAACAACCCTGTGAGGTAGGCTAGGTAATCCAAAGAGGAGAACCATTTCCCCAGGTGATTCCAGGAACATAGGGAAGAGCTCCTTGGGGGTTCTAGGAAACTAGGAAGCTGGCTTGTGCTGAATCAGCCCATCAGCCCCATACCTGAAAGGGCTGACTGATGCCAACCAGGGATTGCATTGTGTTGCTGTAATAACCCAGGAGAAACTCTCCTCCGGTTGCTGGAAGCTCCTCAGCACTGAGATAGACCTGGGAAGAATAAAGCAAAGGCATTCAGCAAAACATCTGGAACGAAGCAGCCAGCAGTGATAACCTCAGGCTACTTCCCCCTCACCTGCTTGGCATCCTCCTCAGAGGAAATCTCGTTGTCTTGCACCCAGGCGTACATCACATAGTCATTTGCATGCTTGAAGGTCACCTGCAAGGGGAAAGAGCTGCCTTGAGCACAACTTGGTTGTCAGGGGAGTGAACATGTGGCTGTCTAATATGTGAGAGCTATTTGCTCTGGTTAGCTAAGGAAATGGGCTGCAAACTCTGAACTGTTTCACACTTCAGTATTGCTGAGAGTGATACAAGGTTTTAGAAATGAGGAAATATGACAACAAAAGCAAGATTAAGCCAAGGCCACACAATGATTTATCACAAAGTTTGTAACCTTTTCTCTAAGGAAATTATGGCAACACATGTGGTATTTAGAGGCTTAGACAAGGAGAGAAGAACTGGCCTAAATAATCCAAAAGATTCCCATACCAAAGACCAAGTCTCTCATCAGTCTCCTGGCTTTTGACAGCTTCCATCAAAATGGGAATTTTCAGGCACAAGGAGGTTTGCCACTCACCAGCCTCCTCTTGTCTCTGAGCCTTGCCTTCGTTTCTGGGCCAGGGTCTGCAGCCTGTTCTTTCCCCCAAGGGAACCAGACCCTTTGCTCAGGTCACTCAGTGCCCTCCCACCCTGATACCTCGGCTTCACACAACCCACCACTGCCTCCTTTTAGTCATCCTTGGCTGCAGGATGCCAAAAATCCTCTTGGAACTGCGGGCACTCTGGGCAGGAGGAAATCTCTGACACTGTCAGGAGGGACCAGGAGAACCTCTCCTTCACAAGGAGAAAATGGCACATGACCACAGCACACCTCACCCTCAAAGGAGCAGAGGAAATGGAAGCCAGGCCATTGGTATGTTGGCTCTGTGCTGTCTACAACAGGCATCTCCAACCTGCGGCCCTCCAGATGTTTTGGCCTACAACTCCCATGATCCCTAGCTAACAGGACCAGTGGTCAGGGATGATGGGAATTGTAGTCCAAAACACCTGGAGGGCCGAAGGTTGGGGGTGCCTGGTCTACACTGCAACAGCTCTCCAGGGTTTCAGGCAGGGCTCTTTCCCAGTTCAAGAGGCCAGGAATTCAACTGAGGACTCTTCTGCATGTCTCTGCTGTTGAGCTACTATCCTTCCCCCCTCAGTACACATCTGTGGCAATGTCACCTTGTAGAGACCAATCCAATCCCAGGCACTGCTTGGGAATTCAGGAGCTGTGGAGTAGCGGACGGTGGCATCTTGCTCAGCATCCCAGTTGCCCACAGGATGCAGCCTGACCAGTGGGACAGGGGGCAGAGGCTTCATCTGGAAGAAAGGAAAGAAGTTGGATCCCATAGCCACCCATTCAACAGCAGTCAAAAGCCGCTCTTCATGCTCCCAACTCTGAAGATGTTAATAATCCTCAAGTGCTGCCACTTAAAGGTAAAGGGACCCCTGACCATTAGGTCCAGTCGTGGCCGACTCTGGGGTTGTGGCGCTCATCTCGCTTTACTGGCCGAGGGAGCCGGCGTACAGCTTCCGGGTCATGTGGCCAGCATGACTAAGCCGCTTCTGGCGAACCAGAGCAGCGCACGGAAACGCCGTTTACCTTCCCGCCAGAGCGGTACCTATTTATCTACTTGCACTTTGACTTGCTTTCGAACTGCTAGGTTGGCAGGAGCAGGGACCGAGCAATGGGAGCTCACCCTGTCGCGGGGATTCGAACCGGCAACCTTCTGATTGCAAGTCCTAGGCTCTGTGGTTTAACTCACAGCGCCACCCGCATCCTGTGCTGCCACTTAAGCTATCCTAAAAAGGTTGTAGAGTGACCCTCAAAAAAATTTGGGGGGTGCGGCAGCTTCACAGGAGACCTTCCCAAATCAGTAGGCTGACGCAGTTACAGTTTGCAAGCACTTACACAAGAGAAGAGTTTAAACGGGCCTGGAAATCAAAGGCAGAGTCAATCCTGTTTATCTACTTATAATAATAATAATAATAATTTATTATTTATACCCCGCCCATCTGGCTGGGTTTCCCCAGCCACTCTGGGCGGCTTCCAACTGAATATTAAAAACAGTACAGCATCAGACATTAAAAACTTCCCTAAAGAGGGCTGCCTTCAGTTGTCTTTAAAAAGTAAAATAGCTACTTATTTCCTTGACATCTGATGGGAGGGAGTTCCACAGGGCGGGCGCCACCACCGAGAAGGCGCTCTGCCTGGTTCCCTGTAACCTTACTTCTCGCAATGAGGGAACCGCCAGAAGGCCCTACTTAGGGTGCAAGGGCTCTCTCTCCACCAACCATAAGATGGTTCGTGATCTGTCTTTGAGACACAGAGCAGGACTGCAAAGCGTCCATCAGAAAATACACCTTGGGTAGCTGGAAAGCTTGTAAAGCCTTCCCAGGTCTTCTGTAGCTGGGCTACAGCTATTTCTCTGATGGAAGGGACCGGAGTCGTGGCCAGGTTCCCTTTTCCAAGAGCCAATTCTGCACTCAGGGAGAGGAGAACATTACCTCAAGTACAAAGGTCCCGGTGACAGGTTTGTGGTCGCTGATGCCGTAACTCATGTGGCTGATGTAGCTGTGCAGGGACACAGAAATGGCCTCCTCTTCTGGCATCTCTCCTGCCTCCGAGGCCAACTGCAAAAGGTGCTTCACCCTCCAGAGGATCCGGTCCGTCCACGCAGGCTTCCGCTTCTTCCCACTGCAAAAGGGGAGGCAGTGAGGACACACCGACGAAGCAAAGCTGCTATCCATGGTGGCAGCAGCAGAGGCATTATGGGGACAAAGCAAACCAGTGCATACACTGGCCCCCCACCACCTTCATTTTATAGCTCAATCAAACAACGTCTATCTGTACGTTAGCAGATCTAAAAGAAAGGCAGACGAAGGAGGAGGGAGGTTAATCAACTTCGTATCAGAAAACAACACGAACTAGCAGCAACCAAGTGTTAACCAGGCTGCATCAGCTGGAGGCAGCTTTACATTTACAGTGGCCCACGTCAAGTGCTCAGGAGAGGTTTGCCCACATTGAAGTTTGTGCCAGCTGCATTTCTGGCCCTGATCCTGGGTAGTTTTTCAAAAGCTCTGCTGTCTCTTCAGAGACAAATACAGCCTGGGCTGCCTGGTCATTCGCAGAGAACTCAGAGCATGAGGCTTTTAATCTCAGGGTCATGGATTCGAGCCCCACTTTGGGCAACGGATTCCTGCACTGCAAGGGGGTGGGCTAGATGGCCCTTCAGATCCCTTCCAACTCTCTAATTCTATGATATAAAGATGTGGGAAGAAGACAGTTTGCTCGGCAGCACTAAACTCTTATTGCCACCGGAGTTACCAGTAGCTTAAGATCTGACCTGTTCACTCCATTCCCCACCTGGGTCTCTTTGAAGGGATTAAGCTACCCAAGGGGCAGCTGAGCAACCTACGAATCCTGTTTTAAGCTGCTGAGCTGACTGAAATAGCAGCCAGCAGAGCCCTTTTGTGCCTTGTGGGAGCAAGTGCAGCAGAAGCACTTCCTATCCTGACTTCTGAGGAGCCCCAGCAGGCAGGCAAGAAAGCAAACCTAGTGAGCCAACAAAATTGAATCCGCAAGGGCTATCATGCTGGAGAACAGCTGCTTCCTTCATCCCCACTGATCACTGTGGGGGAAACTCTCCGTTGCACCCAGATGCAAGAGGCTCTTTTTTATTTCAGGTCCATCACGCCAATTAGCAGGTTAGGATCAAGCCTCCAGCAGCTGGAGAGAATAGAGCAGCAACAGTTTGAAATGCTAATAGCCTAATAGTCTAAAATGCTGAAGATTTGGAAAGGAGGGCATCAAAATCTCCTTACTTAAACCAAAAGAGCGTCTTCTGCCCCCTGAAATAGAAACAGACATTAGTGCAAAAATCCCAAACACCAATTCCGCTGGAGCTCTTTTGGAGGACTGGGCCAAGACACTGATGAAGCTCTCTCCTTCCCCAAACTGCCTCCCACTTTCTTCTCAGGTGGGCTGCTTATTCACCTTCACCAGCCTGGTCATACATCCAAGACGTGTGTGTTGTGGGGGTAACCAGCATTTACCTGGTGTCATAGTCATTTGAGTACAGGTCAAACTTGTAGGTGGGTTTGAACTTCAGGGGCCCCTCCATGAATTCTTGAAGAATGGGTTCCTTCTTCTTAGCGATGTTAAGCTGCATAAATAAAAAGAAAGGAATAACAGAAACGCAAAGCAGCAACCAGGCCCAACTAAAAGAATCCTACATATGAGAAGTTCTGCAGCCTCCTCTTCGAGGCTTCTTTCTTTCTTTCTTTTGGGAAAGGAGATCCACATGAAGGTCATTTTTGATATGGAATGGGACAGGCAAGTTTCACAACTTCCCAGGAGGAAATTTAGAGCCAATTGTGAAATAGATATGGACCAGGAATAAGGCAAAAAATTATGGGAACAAAATGTAAATATTCACAGATTTGTTGCCAAGTGACATTTGGGGGGTGAGTCATGGGTGGGTGGAATCAGCAGGAGAAATTGTAGGGTCTTCCATCAGGGGAAGCCAGGAGAGAGAAGAAAGCGGAAGATCCTGGTGGCGGCACCTGCACAGGAATGACGAGAACAGAACTTGGAGGTAGTACCTGGTCCTTTTCCCACAAAAGGCTGAATCGGCTGTTATTGATTGATTCTCGAATGAAATGCAGGCCGTAATCTTCAATCCGGAAGTTCAAGTCACCAAACCAGAAGAGAACGCTTCACAGAGGAGAAACGAGAAATAACTGCTTAAGAAAAAACAGGAGAAAGCTGCAAGGCAGACGTCAGACGTAGCAGATTCATCCCCACATATCATCTCAGGAGCACATTTACTCTGTAGCTCTCCATTATCTTTCACCACTGTGCAAAGTTATCTGTCCTCTTACTCGCTTTGAACTGCATGGTTTTTTCCCATTAGGAAGCATCACTTAGTCTTGAAAGTGACAAGGTGTGGAGGGGGGGAGGCGGAGTCAGGCTCACTACTTACAGTGGCTCCCAAAAGAGCTGCCAGAACAATGCTCAAAATGGTCCTCCCTCTCTGGTCCAGGCACCTTACCTCCCTCCCTTCGCAGAACCAGGGGCTTTTTCGCAGAACCAGGTGATTTTTGTTCCCTTGAACGGGCTTCTGTGGAGCTCTGAATAAACCCTAAACTACAAAACTCCACAACCGCTATCTCTTTTTAGGAGTTGGGCAAAAAAATTTGTTATTTACCTGGGAATTTGGAGTGCCAATTAAGTTTGTGGCCTTCTGCTCAGCTTTTTATTAGGATAAGTTGAATTGAATCCACATTCTATGGATGAGCATTTTAGATTGTTTTTAATGTTCATTTTTGTAAACCACTTTGAGTTGCTTTTGTGGAAACAGCAACAAATTAATCACCACCACCACCTTCATGAAATAACCGTCTTCCGGATGCTCTCACTTTGGGTTCAAAGCTATCAGAGGGGCTCCCTAAACTAAATGGACAATGACCTATGTAGCAGAGGCCAAGCCAAGCTGGATCCTCTTTTCCTAGAAGCAAGCCAGCAGGGCACCCTCGACCAGATTCAGTTGCCACTCACTCGTGATCCAGGACGTTGGGAATCTTTTCGCCTTCAAACTGCTGCATCTCCAGGATACGCTCAAAGTCATCCAGCCGCTGTCCTGCATTCTCCATGTGGGCTGGCAGGTGGCAGTTCAGGAAACAGATGGTATGTCCATAGACAGACATGCGAGTGGTGACACCCCCCTTGTTTCCCTACAAGACATAAGAAGCCAAGGCACCGACGGATCAGGTCCCCCAGATCACACAACAGCAGCGCTTGAGGCTGTTTTGGGACTTGTTTCCATTGAACTTGTTTCCATTTACGGGTACATTTCAGAAGCAACACCTACCATTCATAAATATCAAACACAGTGCTATTTTTCTAGAAAAAGAGGTGTCGGAACTTATCAGGAATACCTCCTTTGTTCTCTTATAATGGCAACGGCGCCCACCTGAGATGTGTCGGAACTGAGTTCTGGTGAGTTTCAGCTAAAAAAAGCCCTGGTCAATCCCAAACTTGTTTGAAGACAAGAAAGGGACTGGAATCCTCAAGACAACAGAGAAGTAAGCCACCATGAGTGTTAGATAGGTAGCCAGGAATCAGACTGTTCTTTGGGTACAGAAGCGAGGACCAAACTTGCTAGCACCAGGGATGGCAGCACTTTTTGCTCTGATGTGGTCCAATCCTGCATCATCATACAGATTAATCTCTGTAGCCCTTGACAAGTTTATAACTTCAGACAAAATGTTTCAAAACTTTACTAAAAGGAGTAAAATTCTATACGTTCTTTTATTCCTCACTGAAGCCACCGCTGACAACATGCAGAAGCCAAGACTAAGTTGCAATTTGAAAAAGCCATAAAAATGTCTGGAAAACACGGTGAGCTGCTTACCCAATATCCGTAGAGACCCGTGCGAGTGAACTGGCTCTGAATGTCCCGTATGAAGGGGACGTGAGGCTGCTTTGCAAAGACCAGGAGGAGGAGGCCCTGCATGCGTATGGAAGATACCTGCGAGCGGAAGAGATTTTTAAAAAACAAACACTAGCGACCCCCCAGAAAAGGTTAGGATGCCCCAGGAAATCCCAGGCCTGGGAAGGGACTCCAAACACTGCTCAGTTGGCTAAAGAAAGGCGACTGCATCTCCCCTGAGGGCCAAGGAAAGCTTCTGCTTCCTCCATTCTTGATGGAATTTGAGATAAATGGAAGTCAGGCAGTACCAAGAATCTCTTCCTGCCCAGCCCTGATAAAGGCATTGGGAAGCATCTGACCAAAGCCAGTGCAATGCTCAACAGAACTCTGGCCGTGGAGATGTGTCTGAGGACCAAACACAGGAAACATCAAAATTGTAGCCTTGTCTTATTTAATTTAATGCGCAGCCACTGCAATTCTAGGTGGTTGGTAGGCCTTTTGGAATCAAACCAGACTAGACCATTCTTGAAATCAAAAGAACATAAGAAGGTCCTTCAGCAACTGGATCAGGCCAAAGGGGTCCTCTAGCCCACTGCCCAGTTTCCCATAGTGGCCAACCTGCAGGACCTGAAAAGAGCAGAAATACTCTCCACACTTGTAATTCACCGTATTCAGAGGCACTTGTTGCCTCCAGACCAGTGGAGGGAGCACAGAGCCACTGTGACTACATTACTTCTTGCATCAGAGACAATTCTAGAACACTTAATTCCAAAAGCCAGCCTTGAATGGTTTCTGCTTTGGCGAGTCCCTGGGAGGAGCGGGTAGTCACTGAGAATGCCTCCCCAACGTGCCCTTCCTATGCTGAATGCAAACTCTGGAACACTTGCAGCAGATCTATGACTGTCTGCTGGTCAGGAAGGAGGCAGGGCCACGCCCAAATGACAAGACACCTCACACGAGAGAATATTCATCAGGAGAATGTAAGCCAGAGACCACCAATAGACAAATCAACATGATTACCTTGACATAGCGCAGAGGAGAAAGAACATTCATGAAGAAAATACTCCAAGGATCATCAAAGGCCATGTCGGATAGGAAATTCACAATCTTGGAGTTCACCTCCTGTAAACTGAACACTCCAGGGTTAACCCAGGTAATCTTACATCTCATTTTGACAAAAAGTACCCAGACCTATTGGGAACCACTAAGAGCAGGAGCGGCTGCTGTCCCTCTGCTGTCCAATAAAATGTTTGTTAATCTTTTAACCCATCGCCTGCATCCACATGAAAGCAGAGGAAGGGAGGGTGCATCACTACACGGTGGCACAATTCTGGATACCATCTTAGCACACTGAGTACTGACTACTCAGTACTACTCAGTGAAATCACACACCAAGAGCGTTCTTTCTTGAAGTCCACACAATCCTGAATGGCTGCCCCTTTTCTTGAATGAGATCTCTCACCTGTGCCACATTCCCCTACGTCCAGAGACCTGCAGAGACCTTCTGCAAAAGATCTCAAGAAGCACCATGCTCGTGAAGGCCGCCCCCTTGCTTCTGCAGATGGTATGACCAGGATGACATCCCCAAGAAGAGCCCCAGCTCTAGTTCCCCAAATACCTACCCAATGACATACATGTCCATTTCCTGGTCTTGCAAGTTGAGCTGCAGCAAAGAGGTGACATCAGGAGGGGGAGAAGCTGTGCCCACATTCCAAGTCACCAAGTGCAACCTTCAGAGACAGACAAAAGGCAGTGCAGCTGAAGTACAAACAGGTGGGGACAGGCTACCTCGTCATCCCATTAATCTCTCCCCTCCTCATGCCTTATTATCTGTAATCCTGCCCTAAAAACACCAAAGCCCCGCTGGAGAGAGCCTGTCTGCCTGGGAAGGGCACCTGATCCCTAGAAGCTTCTGCTTCTGCATCTTCCCACAGATCAGAAAAGCCTCGTCGATGGTGCGTGAGACTTCCTCGTGGATCTCGTCATCGGAGCTGACGTCCTCCACGCAAGCCATGAGCTGTGCCACTCGCTGCCGCAGCTGCAGCCGCCCGCTGGAGCCCGTGCTGCTCACACTGGCCGAGCGGCTGCGCAAGGCAGAGGGGGTGCCCTCCAGGTCCAGCAAGGAGACGGAGAGCAAGTCCTGGAGCGGCTCTTCAGGCTGCAAAGATGCCATGGGGCCAGAAGGAGAGGGACATGCCCCACTCCCCACCCAAGGCGCCCCCCAGCCAGAGAAGTGTCAATGTAGGCAGAATTAAGCCTCGCTTCTGGCACAAGCTAAGCAAGGAAGCCGTCCACCGCACCAGAAGGCAACTCTGAGGCAGGAAGGGAGGTCCTCTTCCTCTCCTTGCAAGCCCTCAAGGTGCACCCCCCACACCCATTCCACGTGCCAAGATTTAATGCTACTGGAGCCTGGAGAGTTATGAAAAGCTATTGTTAACTGAGGCCAATCACATGTTTCTGCCACTGTGTCATGGAGGTATAATCACTGGTTTTGAGGCACGTGCCCCACATGCAGGGATTGCCAAGCCAGGGACCAAATCTGCCAAGTGACCCCCTCAGGAGGCTTTTATTAACACAGCTTCTGGCTAGGAAGGGGTTTGGGGGTTCAGAGGTGGCTGTTGGAGCTTAGCTTGTGGTCAGAGAAGTGTGGGGAAGGGACAACATATTTGGCCTGTTTCCCCACCCAAGTCAGCCCTCCAGAAGGCACAGGATGTAGCCCAGAGACAGGTGGCCTTCCAAAGGCTGCCAGACTACAGCTCCCATCACCCCCGAGCACTGACTCCGCTGCTTGCTGGGAACTAGAGCCCAACATCTACTGGAGGTTCCCCGCAAATACAGGAGCTGCAAAGGCAGAAGGCGGATGTGCCGCGCAGAGCCGCGGTTAGGAAGACTTGGCTGGGACTTAAGCGCAAGACCCCCGTCCCGCGGGAGGAGGGAGAAGCGCCACCGGCAGGCAGCCCGGCAGCCCCCGATCCTGGGCGTGTTCCCGGCCGCCTGCCTGCCTGCCTTTCCGCGGGCGCACCTGATCTCCGCCCCCGGAGGATGTGGCAAGTGGGGGCAGGAGAGCCCCTTTGGCAGCAGGCGCAGCACCTGCTGAATAAGCGGCCCACCAAGGACTCAAATCCCAGCCGGTGCTTTGCAAGCCGAAATCGGCTTTCGCGCTTCCCGCGGCGATTAGCATAACTCCCGCTCCGGAGCCGCATCCGGGGGCTTTGCTGTAAGAAGGAGCGCCTGTCGGCGGGCGGAGGCCGGTCACGGGGCCCCGAGATCCTTCGGGAGGGGTTGCTGCCTCCTCGCGGGAAACCCCAAGGGGGCGGAAGAGCCTCCAGGGAGCAGGAAGGCTCGGGCGCACTCTGCACATGCCCAGGGACTCCCTTGACTCGGCCGGGGGCACGTGGGCCAAAGGGGGGGTTTCCCCAGACGGGTCCCCCGCGCGCATGTGCGGGCGCAGCCGGAGACCCCCCCCTCCGCGTCCTCACCGGAGATGCCGCGGTCCTTCCTCCGCCTCCATCGCGGCTGCCCGAGAGAGAAGAGGCGGGCGAGAGCGGAGGAAAGAGCTCGCTCCGCTCTTGTGACCGCTCCGGCCAATCGGGGCAGGGGACGAGGTCGGCGCGCCTCCTGATTGGCGGGGGTGCCAAGAGGCCGCGTCGTTCTGGGCACGTGATGCAAACAACGGGGAGCGAACGCAGAGCTACCCAAAAAGGACAGAGTGTCCTATCCCTTTGCACTTCCGGGTAGAAACAAGAAGCTGGCCAGAGAAGTCAATGGGGTTTTGAGGGTCGCTGCGACCCTGGCGCCTGCTGCTCTTCATGATTTCAATTAATTTTATAATGAAATGATTTTATAATGTATTATTTTATTGTTGTTAGCCGCCCCGAGCCCGGCTTCGGCTGGGGAGGGCGGGATATAAATAAAATGTATTATTATTATTATTATGGGGCCTGACCCCAACCCGCAATATCCGCGCGAGGTTACCCTGCAAGGCTGTTGCAAGCGGCTCTCTCCGCTCTGCTGCAGCGATGGCCGGCGCAGTAAAATGAACGTATTTCTCGCAAAATAAAAACCTGCACTTCACGTGTCTGCGGTGTTTTGTGCGTGTGTTTCTTTTGCGGGGAGGGGGGACTTGCCCTGCGCGGTCCGGGCTGCCCCTGTTTTCTGCCTGCTGCTCTCACAAGAGGGAGGAAGATTCAAACATGGTTTCTCGATTGGATCCAGGGAGTGGCCCATCCCGGCAGCAAAATGGTCCCCTCTGCCTATTTCATATCTCCGGGGGAGCGCGGCCCCGACGGAGTCCCTTCGAGAGCGGGCCGTGACGTCCCGCAGCTGCCTTCCGGGTCGGCCTTTCATAAATACAGCCTCGATGTGTCCCTTTCGGGAGCGGAAGTGACCGGCCCCAAAGCCCAGAGGAGCTCACAAGAAGGCAGGGAGCCTCGCCTTGTACTCGCTTTATATATAAATTAGGGCTGTCCCACTAGAAAAGGCCGGACACCCGAGCGCGAGTGCCAATGCGGAATAAGGGAGACCCAAGAACATGTGCAGAGCGCCCCTTCTGCGGTAGGAAGGCATCAGGGGCTCCTGCCTTGCCTCCGGGAAACTGCAGGCTAGGAGACGCTTCTCCCGTCGGTCCTTCGGCTCCTGCCGCCTTCCCCGCGTCTTCTGGGAGGGGATTCATTCACTCACTCCCCAAGTCCCACCCCCGGCTGTCACCAACTCTACTGAAATCATGGTCTCCACTGTAGCCTTCTAAGAGGACAACCAGGGAACCCCACCCACTCCCTAGCAGCATCTCTCAACCTGTGGCTCCCCAGATGTTGTTGAACTACAACTCCCATCACCCCTAGCTAGGAAGGCCAGAGCTCAGGAATGATGGGAGTTGTAGTCCAACAACATCTGGAGACCCACAGGTGGAGAACCGCTGCAAGCAGTGCTGTGTTGTCCTTAGAGATTTCCCCCTGGTTACTGGAGTCCAGCTGCTCAGTAAGCACAGCAGCTGTCACAGCTTTCCTGCTCCAGTTAAAGAGAAGTCATTCACACTGGCTCTCACACACCCTAAAAGATATCAGGGGTGGGGGAGAGGCAAAACAACCCCCCCTTCCTTCTTTCCTTCTTCCTCCTCCTTCCTTCCTTCCCTCCCACCCAAGAAAAAGCCAGACTGCAGGCCAATGCTCTGTCTATGATTTTATTAGATTTGTTTCCAATATGCCTGTATTGGAAGATTGGGAGACAAAAAAAGGCACAAACTCACATTAAAGAAACAATAAGATCATCTAATCAAGTCTACAAAGTGTTTGCCATAAAAAGGAGTTGCACTAGGAACCAACCAAAACAGATCAGGGAGTCCCTGCAGAGGCCAGCAGAGGATGAGCCCAGAAAGGCAAGAGCATGCTGGTGGGGTGGGGGGCTTCTCTCCCCCCACTGGGCTCCAAAGATGGAAGCCCGGGCAGGTGTTGGGAGAAAGCAGCTCAGCTCAGCAACCATACCCACCCTCCTCCTCCAAGCCAACAGGGTGGGGTGGCATCTGGGTGGTGAAGCCAAACACAACATGTTACGCAGTGCCTCCGCAGCACCCTCTCTGCTCCCATTGCTGCCCCCCCTCCCAAGAAGGAACAAAGAGGTCAGTCGTCACGGGGGGGGGGCAGGGGAGGCAGAGAGAAGGCTCAGAAGATGTGCCTCAGCTACAGTTCGGCAGGAGGCGAACTCTAAAGAAACGCAACACGCAAAGAGCAGAACAAAGGACACACAGAGTGGAAGTTTGCTGCATTTTTCTCGCTCTTACTGCTAAGCAGGAAAGCTTTGTGTTTTAATGAGAGCTTTCACCTTCGTACCACAATCTTCCCTTGATTTTCTCCCCCGCCCTTCGAAATGTCACCATCTGTTTCCATAGAGATGTGGTGTCACCAGCTACAAAGCCTCTCGGCTAAAAAACAAATCTTTAAGCAGCAGGAGTGATAAGAACAGCCACAGAAACAGTTAACACATTCAAGCATAAGAATCCTCTTACACTTCATTACCAAAAGGAAAAAAATGTTCAGTGTTTTAATTCCCAATTCTCAGTATTTTACAGTACAGGAAGATTAACCAGGGGGCCTCCTTGCCCTTGGAGGGGAGGGAGGAGGGAGCACCCAACACATTCCTGGTCCCACAGACTTTGCCCCAACCCCTGGGCTTCTCTTTCTCAGGCAGGCAAGGCCGGCCCAGTGCTGAGCCATGTCTCCCGCTCCGCCTGGGGAGCTTCCTAAAAGCCCCTTTCCCCCAAAGCCCCTCAAGTCACCTGTCAAGAGAGCGCGACCAGAACGGATCAAGCTTGCTTATTGCACTTGGACATTGATAAGGCAAAAAATGGACAAAACAAGAGGACAAGAGGGATAAACTGCCTCCTCTCAAGGCAAAGCTGCCCATTGTCACCCTGCTTGTCTCCCACCCTCTCTGTCTGGCAAGGGCCACTGCTTCAGGCGCAGAGAAAGGGAGGAGACCCGGCTACAGAGGCTGCCACACCAAGGCATGGCCTCAGCTCTGCTTCCGCCAGCTCCTGAGTGAAGCCGGCAGTGTTTGTTCAACCCACTCTTTCTCCTGTGATTGTCTTAAGCAGCTGCCAGCCCACAGGTAAGTGGGCTTCAGAAGCCCCTCCTCAGCAGCAAAGAGCTCAGCCAGCTTTGGGCCATGACCCCTGCAGCTCCTGGCAACCGAGAGAGACAGATCACCCCCTCTGCAGTGCCACTGCTCCGTGCTACGGGCCTTATTGCTCAGGAGCAGCACCAACGCCCAACACAAGCAGCGCCTGAGCATGAAACAACCAAAGAACGGGATTCTGCTTGTGCAATTTGTTTGGTGGTCGGGTTAAGAGACCATTCAGCTCATCTACTGTAGTAAAGGGGAAGGTGGAGGACTGTTTTCTTAGCAGGCGAACTAAGTCACCTGCTCCCACCACCCCACAAGCGGCAATGTGGACCTTGAGGACCACACTGGAAGGGGCTCAGCAGGCAGAACCTGGGCAAGGAGCAGAGGCTGATGCAGGTGGGCACTGCTAGTAGCAATCTTCCCTGCTCCTTGTGGCCAGGAGCCCTGCCCACCACCCTGATATTCAGGGAGCCAAAAGGTTGGCCTGACACCCTCTAATACTGAGTTCCCATCTCCACAAATGGACAAAGAAAGGTGAAGAAACAAAGGCAGCAGTTTATCCCAGTGTTTCAAAGGAAAAATATAGATATATACATACATATGAAATCTAAATCACCACATCACAAGACTATTTCAGCTAAAACGGTCACTTGGAAATCAAAGAGCCACGTGGGAATCGGGCTGAACACTCTTCTGGGGAAGGCGGCTGTGTCACAGGTGCAGCCATCCCCCAGGAAGCGCCTCCAGCCCAGGTGCCAAGGCCAGAGTGCTCAGGACCAGAGGACTGTCTATTTGCTCACGATAGTAAGGGCCACTAGAGTTAGCTAGGGGAGGTTGGAAGTCGCCTGCTGACTGGATAGAGGAGGGCTTGATCCAGAGATGGTCCGTTGGTCAAGAGGGTGGAGTTCCTGGGCCTTCCTGCTGGCTGTTTTGCAAACTTAAGGAAAGAAAGAGAGAAACTGGGTTACTTCAGTGGCTTGAAAGCGATCTTCCAAGTGGGGAAACTCTGCTGGGTAGCTGGATTTATTAAACACTCCTGAGTATATTGGCAGTCATTTTTGAAGGAGGGGGAACGCAGAGTGCCTTTTCTGTCAGGGATGACATTGCAGGGTTTGAACAGTGAGGGTACAGTCAACTGTGCAATCCTGGAGAGCCAGCAGCAGATTTATTCCATGTCCTGCTCAGACACCCCACGCACACACCAAAAGCCTCCTGCAGCCGAGCCCACAAAGAACATTTGCACCAAGAATTTATTGCACTTGGCACAGATGTTTCTCTTGATATTTATGCTTGGAGCCAATGCAGGATCCTTAAGAAGGGACAACACAGCTCATGTCAGAAGCACCCTGTCCCCATGGCACCGCCTCTTTTCTAACCTTTGAAGGCAGCCCCGAAGATGTGGACATACCGTGCAAAGAGAGGAATCCACGCTAGTCATCTGCAGCCGACGTTCCTTTCAAGGGGTCCTTCTGTCTCATCTGCAGCAGGAGAAAAGGGAGGTTTTTTTGGTCTTTTGCAAAGTTAGGCCAAGTGGGCAGATCTCCTGAAGTGAGAGACCTCAGCAGAGCCTCGTGTCACACACAAAGCATCTGACAGAGAAAAGGAGCAAGAACTTCAGGCACTCGGGCGAGGAAAGCAGAGCTGCTGGCCACTTGCCCGCCCCCAGTCCCTGATCACTCTGGGGGACCTGAGGCCCAGCAGACCAAGTCCCTTCCCACTTGCCTCATCCAGCTGCCTCTTCGTCTCGTCCTCCATCCTGCGAATGTCCTCCATGGTCAGGTCAACCCATTTATCAAGCCAGCAGAACAGCTGCCGGTGGAAATTTG